CATGAATAGTCTACTGGACCGTTACAGGTGAAAGTCCCTCCCAGATAGACGTACTCATTTGTCAGAGATATTTCCACATTGTCAGAATAGAATTTATATCCTGGGTTGTTAGTCCTTCAAGTACCTTCAGAAAAACACATTATTTTTGTCTTGTTGGCATTAATTTTCAATTCATTTTCGACGGTGTATTCCTCTAGGATTTTGGGTTTCCTAGATATGTATATTTCAGAGTGCCTTTAAATAACTAGATCATCAGCGTAAAGAAGCATTAGTACATCGGTGAAGTTATCAATGTTGATTCCCTGAGCCCCTCTACTGATTAGGTTTTATTTTCTAATGAGGCCACCTTCCATAAGAATGGATTCGTGAATCGTCACAACTTCCATTATTACTCCGATCACAATCCAAGGGTTTTTAGTCAGATTGATAAACACCACCGATGGTTAATTAATATGTGGGGCGGCTTTATTGGTGAACTTGTTATTGGTCCCTACTTTTTCGACGGGAAGTTGAATGGCCCTATGTTCATGGATTCTTTGCAAAACCAATTGCCAAACTTATGTGAAGATCTACCAATAGCTGTGAGGAATGCAATGTGGCTACAACATGGTGGAGCCCCAGCACATTATTCATTACAAGTCAGGGACCATTTCAACACAACCTTTTCAAATCAATGGATCGGGAGAGGAGGGCCAAGTAAGTGGCCGCCCAGACCACCTGACTCAACCAAATTGCATCCCTTTTTGTGGGGCTATGTTAAGGATATCGTTCATCAAGAATTTCCTATCACACCAGAAAATATGCAGCAAAGAATCTTCAACGCATTTTGTTGTTTCAACGAGTAAAACTTCATTCGGGGTATACACAATTAAATTGAATGATAATCCTGATGACAAATTAATTCTGACATTATTATCAACAACTTCACAATAAGTGACATACTGAGTGTGCTGAAAACGCTTGATATTCCCTACACATTTCAATACATTACAACCGACTTATTATGAAGAGTGACAAGGTCATTCCATAATCGTATTGGCTTGTGCCTCCAAAGGAACGGAAGACATATCGGACATACATTCTGATATATAGGTAATACCGAGGGTGATACTCCTATTTGTTTGTTTTTGAAGAGTTTATTACTTGAACTACTGTGATTTCCTATAATTGCCTGATGTGTTGAAGATTTGGACGAAAAGTTATGTTGAAATTGTTTATCACAGCTTCCTCCGTTCTCTGATTCTTTCAAATGTCTGTAAGAATAGTTGATGAAACGAGTTTTTGGCAAATATGTTTTGATACGATGATAATTGCCATAGGGTTTCAATGAAAAAAAAAAGTTTCTCATTCACGCTTCGAATGTTATGAAAATATTCAGGGGCTCCAATTTGAGATGAGAAAAATATAGTGCTTTTCAATTTGAGAAATTTGTCACTGAATTTTGGACACCCTGTGATGATTGGTGTCAATTGAGCATGGTTAGCGTTCCTCCAAGGCCTTATTTGATATGTCTTCCATGATTTCATTGAGCAAAAACTCTGTTTTTATGTTCTTGACCAGTTGAGCAAAATTGATTTTTTTTTTTTATATTTTCTTTTACGTGATTATCACTGAACTCATTTCAAATGGATTCCAGTATGAAGGTTACCACTAGAAGCACTCAAAAGTGCAACAAAATATATACCTTGCTATTTGAAAAAATATATCATTACGACGTTACACTCCTGGGGACACCCATTATAATCGAAATTATTTTCCTGGTATGCGGAGTCTGAGATATATCAAAATCCTGACTCAACTCAGATAACTGAGCTATAGAAGACGGGAGATGAGATGAAGGATCCTGTATATTCTTTTCTACAGCTATAACACAAGATTGATCTTGTTTCACTGTGCTCGATAAATCAATGAGGTACTTTGTATGTAATAATTTTCTTTTCCGTATCTGATATCACAATGACTTCCATTATATTATTATCTCCTAAAATCTTATTCCCTATGAAATGTCAAATTCCAGGCCATGAGAGCTCTGTCTAATGAAGCCGAAGAAATGGAAAATTTCGCTGTTATCTGTTTCAGCCGTAGAAAAAGTATAGTGTATAACTCCCACAGAATTTGGATTTCCCACTCGTATGATTCACGGCAAACTTCATTGTAGTGGGAAATTACTACAATACTACAAATGCTATTGAATAAAATAACAGACTGACTTAGAGTTGCCATGTTGCTTGGATGACTGATCTGGGGCGAGATGCCACTGTTGTTGAGAAGTTGAGTCCTGTTTTATTCAACTGAACTATTCAATCATCGCGGGGTCTCGGTTATTTCAAATTCAATTAGCTCGTAATCGAGGCTTCAAATCAAAATTCCACAAGTTTGCTATCATTTCTGGATTGAACAGGTAGTTTGGAGACATACCTAAGTTCTGGAAAATTTTCAGTGAGTTAGTAGATATGGCGGCAAGAATGGAACAACTCTCCTCTATCTACTCCACTGGACAATTTTGACAAAACTTAGTTACGTCAAACATCGAGTTACCATTTCATAAGTATTTGCACAACATTTTGTCGTATGTCCTTAATATTATAGCATGAAAACGATTCTCCAAACTGGACTTCAGAAGGATGAATCACCCTCAATAAGGTTTTTTAAAAAAATTATAAAATATCATACTCTTCTACTCACATCCTCACTGAATGCCCGGCAATAGTGGCAGCAAGGGATATCCATTTTGGGAGCAGTATCCTGGACCCAGAGGATGTTAAGATTTGGCCTAGGAAGTTGATCTCTTTTGCTCGCGAGATCGGCCTTCTCCATGGCTGACTTGCGATCCCAGGAATGTGGGTGCACAATGGGCCCGAAAAGGGAGGCCTTAGTGCGTCAGGTCCCGGACCGCCCACATACATACATACATACATACATACATACATAGAGAAAAAAATCCAAAGTCGTCTCCACAAATTTAAAAAAGACAATGCAGTTAGTTCTGCTTCATTACAGTTTCGTGAGACATGTTCTGACCGTTCAAACGGTCATCATCAGTCAAAGCATTGAAAGTAATTCTGCAAAGAAAAATCATTCAAACCTATCATCTAGCAACCATGGATACAAAGATAAGTAGGAAAAGACAAGTTATATAATACCAACATTTTATGTGAAGTGAAATATCAAAAGCAAGTGAAGAATTATCATCATTATTGTTGAGATAATAATTTTTCACTCGCTTTTGATATTTCACCTCACATCAAATTTTATCAAAACTTGTCTTTTCCCACTTCTCTTCGTATCCATGGTTGCTAGATGTCAGGTTTGAATGATTTTTTTTTACAGATTTACTCTTGATGCTTTGAATGATGATGACCGTTTGAACGGTCGAAACATATCTCACGAAACTGTAATGAAGCAGAAGTTACTGCATTTTCCTTATTAAATTTGTGGAGACGACTTTGGTTTTTTTCTCTATGATATCATCCCACTCCACTTTGACAATGGACTACTTCTGAAAATATAATATACATGCCGACCTATTGTTTGGTGAACCATGGTGAATTATTGTAAATATAGCCTGAACCACCATGTTTATTAGCTCGCCCATTTCCATCCAATGAACACTTTTGTTGATGTAAAATATATCGAAACATTACTCTCCTAATAACATGAAGGCATCATTTATAATGAGTATCAAATACATTTTTCCGTCGACCTCGTATTAACGACTAAGTTCAATGTATATGAAATCGTTCATTAATGACCCCTATTAATGAACGATTTGTCTATTAATGCACGATTATTTCATAGGCAACCAAACATACACCGCGTGCATTCATTGTTCATGCTATAACTTACGGAATCTGCATTTAAATCGAAAATATGGATTCCATCGACGATTTTCTATTAACGGGTTCGCCTTTCCAAGTTTCTGACACGATTTTAATCCCTGTTTTTCAACACAAGGAATTTATTGCCTATGTTGATCATTTCGACAAATGTCAAATGTCACTAATGTCAGTAACAAGGCTACTGGGTGATTCTTAGCAGTTTTCGGATGGATGATGAATTGGCGAACCAAGTTTTCTTCATTGCAGGAGGAATGAGAAATATAGTCGGCGGAAAAATTTTGTAACCAACTTGTATATTGAAAGGCGATTAATGATCTCGAACATTAACGCACTCGCTTCGCTCGTAGGTTGAGATATCTCGATCATTAATTGCCCTCATCAATATACTAGTTGGTTAAATAACTATTCCACAATGATTTGCTCCTTCAAGAAAGCCATGAAAACCTGATTTTCGAATAATTCTGAAGCCGGCTCTGGCATGGTCGCGGCTCTACTGCGCATGCTTACATTTGTCGTTCGAGCCACGTTAGGAAACACTTGAATAGAATAGCCTTAGTCTCTGAGTTCTATGGCATCTATATTGTTATAATTTATTCATTTTTGAATGTATGACAAATTGATATTCATCATACAGGACGTGGAAAGAAATTCTGAATTGAGAAAACCTAATCGAGAATCTGCGATTGAGGTCTATGAAAATAACAAGTTTCCATCGTTCAGAATGATATTATATGCATATCTCTATATGAAGGAGAATACAAATTCTCTACTTCAGAAGATTCTGTCGTCGAATTCTTATCGTGTGTTCAATTGATGTTATTCAATATTCGTCGTGGCATATAGCCAGGAAAGTAGTTGTTTTCTGTTGAATAAGCCGAGAAAGAAACAATATTTCCACATTCAGAATGCGAATTTCCAATGTATCTCTTTATATATATATATATATATAAAATTTTTTTGTGTTCATGAATATATCTGAGAATATTCCTTTTCAATAATTCATTTCCTTGAAGAACAGTATTCAACTTTCGGTAATGGTCATAACTCACTTGAGGAGTTGCCTGCAAACTTCATTTGCGTGAGTTATGGCCAACATTACCGCTCGTTAAATAATATACTATCATGAAACTCGCGATATAATTTTTTCCTTATCGATTCTAGGAAAATGCATTCAGACAAGCTAGTATCAAGGAACTCTACCTGAGGAATTGTGGTTTGACAGAGATGTCTCCAAGTGCGTTTGATGGATTGGAAAATTCATTGGAAACATTAGACCTATCTGGAAATAACATATCATTTCTACCACATGTCGTATTGAGTCGATTCGGATCTTTGCGAACTTTGTCACTGAGTGATAATGCTCTACCGAATCTGGATGCGACCGAAATATTCAGTGGGTTCTTGAATTCTCTATATAAGCTGGACTTGAGTGGAATTGATAATGGACCAATTAACTTACAAGATATAAGAAGGTATTGTATTCAGTATTACTTATTGTTTCGATGTTCCTTTAACGTTACTCTCTTCTCTTTTCATCTACGAATGCGTGATCCTCGACCATTCGAATATTATAAATATGACACAATAATACCAATAGACTGTATCTGAATTTTGAATACGAAATGTTGAAGGTACGTTATCTCTTATAACATGATGAAGATTTTATCGAAATGAATGATATTTATTACCTAGTTGCGAAATGACGAAGGTATTAACAATGGGGTAGTAAAACACACTAGTCGAATCTATGTCAAATAGGTATAGGTAACTATTTTGTATTGATTTTTTAATGCGATCAAAGTTTTCGACGAGTTCTTCTTTATGTTGAATCATCAGTTATACTATTTCTCAATTATCAAAGTCAGTTCCTTGAATAAATTGGTGACAAACACAATACAGTTCACAAATCTGAACCACCGATTAGATTATAAGTCGTATCAAATCTTCGCGTTTTTCATGTTCTGAATGTTATGCAATATCGTGAAATTCAATAGTTCTTGAAAAAAAGTTGGGTAGGTGAGTATCACTTCAAAATGATTGTGTTGTAGTAAAAGGGGCTTGTTTGATATTATAGTGAGAAGGAGTGACGTTTTGGGACTGTGTTTGAATGGTCAAATACAACATCATCCACAATATCGAACAACTTAAAAAAAGCCTGAATACATTTTCATACTAGATTCCTGAAAAAAAATGGATATTAGCTGACTCTATATCCTTGAGAAACTACATCGCAGATATTTTCTGGAGAATTTCCTGAACATATATGATGCCAGCTGATTTTCATCATCTTCAAGTTTTAGTAAGAGTGGCGAGGGACGTTTCGAGATTTATTCGGATATTGTTCAACTCTGGATATATTTTCACATTTTATTTCGATGAATGCTAATTTGTCACGATCGATTTGGCGCAATTCTCGTCCACTTTCTATCTAATGCGACATTCTAGTTGAGGATTGAATGGGTACGACTAATCAGCAATCCTTTTTATCGTTTTTTTGTGCATAGGTCCTCTTCTTCTCTTTTTATATTCCTTGGATTTCTAGCTCCTCATCAAATTAACCAGATCTGGTAAATATAGGACTTCCATTGTTTGATGGAAGTTCTTCAAGTTCAATGTTATTAGTTCCTATTTTCCCATTAGTCAGGAGTAGGTTGTTATTGTTAGCTTGGTGGACGGTTATTAGAATAAAACACTCTGGGTACTCCACGATTTCCACTATATTCACAATAGGTATCAGATACAACCTAGCCGTATCACGGCTACTTCTTAACTACCTAATATTACTCATACGTCGATAAATTCTACCCAAAATACCCGTCACCTTTTACATAACCCCGTGTGTCATCAATAGATCGACACTCATTAATCTAGAATCACTATACAGGGCGTATAGGTACGTAGCTCCTGGATACGATACTCTCTTACATTCGGCCATCCTGCTTTTTATTCGTCCTCGAATGGAGAATAGTTCGACGATGAACCTGTATCAACAAAATTTGTAATCGATATATTGTCAATTGTAATGGTACTAGGAATCCTGGCAGTCCCAGATTATCACAGTAACAAGGAATTCTGGCAATCCCAGATTATCAAAGGAATTAGGAATTCTGGTTGTCCCAGATTATCACATCAGTAATAAGGATTTCTGGCAGTCCCAGATTATCAAAGGAATGGGGAATTCTGGCAGTCCCAAATTATCAAAGGAATGAGGAATTCTGGCAGTCCCAGATTATCAAACGAATGAGGAATTCTGGCAGTTCCAGATAATCACAGTAGCAAGGAACTCTGGCAGTCCCAGATTATCAAAGGAATCAGAAATTCTGGCAGTCCCAGATTATCACATCAGTGATAAGGATTTCTGGCAGTCCCAGATTATCGAAGGAATGAGGAATTCTGGCAGTCCCAGATCATCACAGTAACAAGGAATTCTGGCAGTCCCAGATTATCAAAGGAATGAGGAATTCTGGCAGTCCCAGATTATCAAAGGAATGAGGAATTCTGGCAGTCCCAGATAATCACAGTAGCAAGAAATTCTGGCAGTCCCAGATTATCAAAGGAATTAGGGATTCTGGCTGTCCCAGATTATCACATCAGTAATAAGGATTTCTGGCAGTCCCAGATTATCAAAGGATTGGGGAATTCTGGCAGTCCCAGATTATCACAGTGACAAGGAATTCTGGCAGTCCCAGATTATCGAAGGAATGAGGAATCCTGGCAGTCCCAGATTATCAAAGGAATGAGGAATTCTGACAGTCCCAGATTATCAAAGGAATGAGGAATTCTGGCAGTCCCAGATTATCACAGTAGCAAGGAAATCTGGCAGTCCCAGATTATCGAAGGAATGAGGAATTCTGGCAGTCCCAGATTATCACAGTGATAAGGATTCCTGGCAGTCCCAGATTATCAAAGGAATGGGAAATTCTGGAAGTCCCCAACTTTATACTTCATTGCAGAAGCCCTCTTCTTATTGAAGTACTCGTTCTGCTTCTGCCTAATTTCCTCCAACCTGGTAGCAACTTCAGTTCGGAAGTTGTTATGTCAATCAATATTTCTTCGTCGGTGAACGAATAGTCACCATCTACTCTCAATTTCACACCAAACAATATTTCTGGCGGAGTGGCCAATGTAGTTTTATGTATTGTAGTATTTATACCTTGTTGTAATTGATCTATTTTGATATCCCAATCATCAGCTTCAACACTAGCACCTAGTGCTCCCAAACGTTCCAAAACTGTCCTATTTGCCCTTTCCACCTGTCCATTTCCGCGAGGCATTCCAACCGCAGTCACAAAAAATCGTATATTTCTGTCTTTACAATATGATGTGAATACATTCGAAGTGAATGCTGTACCCGCGTCGCTGACGAGGGTTACTAAAAATTGCAAATATCTCATTTAGTTCCCGTATAACATTAATTGACTTAGTGTCAGGTACGGGCCTTGGAAATGTGAACTCAGTGAAAGAGTCTATTATCACAAGCAGATAACTATTGCCATTTTTTGATTTCACGAAAGGACCTAAATGATCGATGTATATTGTATGGAATGGTGCTGCATACTTCGGGATGGAGTATAACATTCCGGGTTTTTCCCCGCAGGTGTTTTGTGATATAAACTATTGAGACAACAATCGATATATCTCTTTACAAACTTTCGCATCTTCTAGAACCAATATATTTCTTTTATCCTTGATATAGTTTTCTCACAAGCAAAATGACCAATTTCATCATGCTTAGCGTTAACCGGACACCGGACAAAAGAATATTCTTGATGTCCTTGTCTTGATCTTGTGCGGCTGCTAACCAGTCGTCTTCAGATATAGAATCAATTCCTAGAATGTTTGATTGGCTCATTTGGAGATTTGGGGGAATTATGCAACAATCACTACCCAAGTCAATAAATGCTTTTCAAGAGCTTCCATCAATCTTCACAGTTTTATATGATAGGAACTCATTTGAGGAAACAACCATAATGTCTTTCCTATCTCTACCTTTCTTATATGGATTGGCTTTGATGGTATCTGATTTCAATCTGCAATTCTTCTCAATTTCTCCTATTTTTTACAATGATAGCAGGTTTTTCCGTTATGTGAACATTGGTTTCATTGATGTGCAGAACTACCGCACGAGTAACATCTTCCTTGTAGAACTTGATTCTTGTTTTCTCGAAAAATATTGTTGGAATACCTCGGCGGAATACTTTGAGATAATGGTTATGATTCTTTATGAAAATTTCGGATGCCTTTCGGTTTTAAATGAACTGTTTTAACTTTGTTTCTCAAATAGCTAGATAATACATTCAAATCTGTGATATTGGAAGCTTCGATAGCTGAGCTGATATTATCATCTCCTATTCCCCCAACAATCAAAGAAATTTTATCAGTTTCGGTCAAATGAATTTGCAAACTATCTATTTTTGAAAGATGGTGAAAATGGTATTCATTAAAACATGCGCCTATTTTTGGCCTAGGATTCACTAACCCAATGAGCATTTTATAAAAATCACGATTTGATCTGTAAGTGTTCAATAATATTTCTTTCCAATATTCCTAGGTGAACCAACCCAATTCATTTCGAATTATCCCCTCGTACCAAATTTGTGCAGTTCCTCTCAGTTTGCAGAGGGTCTGATGGTACTTAATAGTTGAGTCATTCCAACCATATACACCAGCATAATAATCTATTATTTCTAACCATTTTCCAATATCATCTTTAATCGGGTTGAAATCAGGAATTATACTCGAAATAATCGTATAACTGCTTCTAGGAGAATAATTTACATCGCTCACCCCAGTAGAGACTTGACTAACTTGGCTGTGACTCGGTTGCGAACGTCTGTTGTAAGAATCAGTTCGACGGCGTTTTCGGAGGCGAACTGACGCTGACATCTCATCTCCCGAAGGCTCAGGTGTTGATGCATCCCTATCGGAACAGGTATCACTTTTACCACTTGATGGTTCTTTGAAAATACTCGACTTATTCTTGGGCATGATTGGTGTTCTGAACACTTCTGATGTTAGCTTGGTGGACGGTTATAAGAATAAAACACTCTGGGTACTCCACGATTTCCACTATATTCACAATAGGTATCAGATACAACCTAGCCGTATCACGGCTACTTCTCAACTACCTAATATTACTCATACGTCGATAAATTCTACCCAAAATACCCGTCACCTTTCACATAACCCCGTGTGTCATCAATAGATCGACACTCATTAATCTAGAATCACTATACAGGGCGTATAGGTACGTAGCTCCTGGATACGATACTCTCTTACATTATCATATTCACTGATATGTATATCCATGTACAGGTTATAGAGCGCTCCTAGGGTTCCTTGTTCTTCTTCTCTTCTTGAAACTGAATTGATTCTTTGGAAATATGTTATGGTGTTCTACATAATACACTTCAACTTGTGATGGTGTAAATATAAATATCAAAACTTTCCCTTGGGTATTTTATTCAATCAC